TGCACAATCAGCTTGTAACACTCCAAAGAGAAAGGAAAACTTGAAATCGCATCATATGACCCCTTTAAATGTAACTAGAAGTAGAAGATGGGGGAAAAAATACTTAGCTATTAGTAGGTCATCTGGTACTATATGAAAGATAAAAAAAACAAGAGATATTAGTTATTACTGTTTTATAAAAGTGAAAAAATTGAAAAGCACAAAGCATGTTTTAATGCAGAAAAGCAACATATATGAGTACATGAAACATAAGATCTAGAAAAAATAACTGCTTAATAGTTAAGTACATGTTAAACATAATATAACCAATTATCAGTCATGCAAAACAGCCTAGTTTGGCTGTTTATTTTGGTCACCATGGTTCTCTGGAGAAAGACCAAGAGAAAGTAGAAATTGAAAAGACATCTCAATCTCAAAAACACTACAGCCATCATTACTCCTCTAATCATTACTCCCTTGATGTTTCTTTCTGGCATTGCTTGACATCAAAATTCCAGCAGAATAATGTCATTACTCTTATCCAGATGTTCTGCATTAAGTCTTGTCTGCACACATAAGGATTTCACAAAACCTCAATGAACACAGTGACATTTTAACACACTTATTTAACACAAGGCTTTGGATTGATTACTGATCATCTCATTAGGCAATAAGCTCTGAAGAACATGACGCTGTAGGAAAAATCTGAACATAAATCCCTATACTTTAAACCCTACACTAAAGGCAAACACTTCCAATCCAATCCAAAAAATAAAAAAAAGTTTACCACCACTCCCCAGGACTTGTCGTCTGTTTAAAAACAATCATGAAGCATAGCGAAAAAATAGACGCAACTGGTATTAGTGCGCCATCCGGAGTCAGTAATAGAAATTGCAGCTATTTCTACTCTTGTCTAAAGAATCAACATGTTCATAGACTTTACAGTTCACCTCCACACATTCATTTTTATTATCAGACCTAAACACTTCTTTTTTTGAACTGTTGTTCAAACGTCCGTATGAGACACAGTGGGGTCCAAATGTCTGAGAACACACTGAAAATCTTTAACCAATAAATACATTTCAAAAATTAAAACAACAAAAGGTTATGATATGTTTTAGGCCCCAATGTTCTCGTTTCCAGTGAAACACACAATGCTTTTCAGAATCATATATCAGTGTCAGACCAAATTATTCAACCATAATTATTACACCATGTTATTCAAACTAAAGATTTATAATATTAAAACTACAAAAACCTTCACTAATAATATAATTTGTGAAGGAAAATATACATTTCAAAAATACATTTTCACTATGATCAGGGACCTCAGCAGCCCAAGGTACAGTGTGACTACAGGATGTCTAGTAGAGTTTTTCTGCTTTTCAGCTGCAAATGTTAATGTTTCATCACTCAGTGGCTTCATCCACTAGACTAGACATCATGAGCTTCAGACTTACTCTGCTTTGTCTCCAAGTAAGTTCTCTGAAGGTCTTTCAAAAGCTGCTCAGCAACAGAAGGCAGAGATGAGCCCATAATGCACCTGAAAACTAAAATAACCACAAGCATGAGTTCTATATGTCTTTGCATATTAATTAACGTTACCGTACGTGATTTTAAACTTTGAACGCATGTCAAGGGGATCTGTAGTTATATCATGTGGTATTTAGTTACATATTAGTTAAATCTTTAGTATCTTTCTTTTACACATCTGTAAATGTGGAGTTCATGGCAATGTTATCTATTTGCATTAAAGACAACTACTAGAAAACGAGCTAATTAGCCAAACAATTGCTTTGTAATGTTGAGAAAGTGTTCATATTTGACATCTGTCTAATACAAGGATTTGTAAACCACCTGAAAACCAACCAATAACATCAACACCTAGACTTCGTAACTTCGAGACGATTCGAAAGCAGCTTCTAAAAGCATCAGCTGACCGAATATCTGCTGAATATGTAAATATTTAACGTGCAGCGACACACACAAATGCAAACATTTACCGTGTTTGTGTTTCCCGCACCTCCGTACGCTCTTCTTCTTCTTCAGTAGTTTGAATGGTGTATAACATACTGTTGGTTTATAGCGCCACCTACGGTGCTTAGTGCAATCGGCATGGTCAATTTATACTTTAAACTTTTAAACTCATTTAAAAAAAACACTCTAAAAAATTATAATATTCCGCTAATCATCTCCTAATAACCGTCCCAGAGTTACTTCAGATAGTAGAAGTTCCTTCTTTAATATGAAATCAATCTCAAAATATTTAGAATGTTTTTCAAATCAAAGTAGTCAAATATTTGAAAAAGTATTTTTTTTTTTTGGTAAATTGACAGATGAAATCAAGAGACAATTATTTTCTTAAACCGATGCACAAATTGTAAAATTTTACATTCAGCAGGTGTTGATTTTTTTTTGTTTTTTTTATTCATACATTAAATGTAGATTGAGTATCCAAATACTGATTTGGACAAATAATGATTAGATGACTGTCAACTAAATGCCAACCCATAACAACGAGGAACGAATTTAAATGCAATTCAAATAACAAAAATAAAAAGCTGGTTTTGATGCACTAGAAAAATATTTGGTAACACTTTCTATGAAGCCCGTATTTATAATACATTATAAGGGTATTCTTAAGGCATTATAATGAATGCA